GGCCAACTTGTAATCGAACTGAATATCTCAATTTCTTGAATCGCCAACATAAATTGGCCTGAATTTGGATATATATTTTAGTCAATCCAAACTAAACATGCTCCATTCGGATGGTTTAGTTGATTATTTGATTTTGCTTAGCAAAATTCTCATTTTCATTTTGATTCTGGAGCACTATCGTATCCGCACTCGACACACAAAATTATATTCTCAAATGTTACCTGAGAGTTGCTTAAATATACAAATAATATTGTAATTTAATATTGCAAAATGAATAAATTTTTCTGCTCTCACAAATAGAAGATAATCAATGAAAGATTGAGAATAAAAATGTAACAAAAAATAGTTAGAATATAAGTACAATAATAAATAAAGATGGAGGACCTTTAGTATAATTACCTCTTTTTACAAAGGTGGTGGCAAAATGAAAACGGTGGCGATAATCTCTTCTACATTTCGGCAAACCCTAGAGGCAGCTCCTCTGTACTAGTAGCTGATTATAAAGATTTCGATAAACAATCTGAATTATTTTGAAGATGGTGGGTGCGAATTTGAAAGCAGAGGCGATGAATCTGATGGAGAAAAGGAGTGGAATTGAGGCGGAGATGAATATTATCATCCAGCGCCTCTGCCAGCCCGGTGGCCCTGGCCTCTCTGGTAACCTCCTTGATTCTGAGGTAATTCCATATTTTACCCTTTAATTCTTTTCTCTCTCTGTGTAGTTTCTTTATTTATGTTTTGTATTGAGATTTTCAGAATTCAACCATACAGGTTGAGTGATTTGTGTTGGGTTATTTGTGGGTGTGCAGGGGTTTCCGAGGGCGGATATTGATATTCCGGCTGTACGAGCGGATCGCCAAAGGCTTTCTGGTAGTTTACTAATTATCCCTTCTTTCTATTCCATTAAAGGAAATGAAGGAAAAATAATTCTTTGAACAAAAGTTATGCTTTTTACAACTATTTTAAACATAAATATATCTGTACACGAGTTTGTGAGAAAATATTTAACTAGTTCATCAACATAAGCACTTCGGTTCTTATAACACTGCATTTTTTCAGACAGAGAAAGAAAATACTTAAATACGATACTGCTTACGTTTAGCTATTTTTCTCACAATGTTTGTGAAGAAGTGGAGAATTTCTTCAATGAGCAACTGAGGAATTTATGTATTTTCTTGCATGTCTGAGAAAATGCAGTGTTATAGGAAGGAAGCAACATGGTTCTATTGATGAACTAGTCAAATATTTTCTTACAAACTCGTGTACAGATATATGTATGTTCTGTTTCTGCTCAGATACAAATACAATAGTTGTAAAAAGCATCACTTTTGTTCGAAGAATCATTTTTCCTTCTTTTTTGTCTTTGCATGGATTTTCACAAACTGGCATAATTTCATCATCTCCCTGTGTGCTTTTTTTAAATTCCTCTTGTTCACATGGTAATATGTCAAACAAGAGGCATTAGTTGCTTTAGTTATCTATCCACATATATGCATATATGAAAATTCTCTAGTATTGTTCATAAATTGTCATCTTGAATGCATGTGATCATTTTTACATATGTAAATTTAGAAATGCATTGAAAATCTGACTGTTGCAGCAAACACCATAACTGTATGCAAGCCCATGTCTTTGCTCACTTTGTTGTTGTTGCTACTTCAGAGCTGCGTAATGATTATGAGGATATTACAGAGAAAATAAATCAAAAAATTCAAGTTTTACATTCTGCTAAGCTTGCACCAGTTAGTGATTCCGTCAAAGTTCCAGGTGAGTAATTCAGAAATTAATTTCACACTGATTGTACTTATTTGAATTTCTTTGCATGCATGACAAATAATAGAGGCTCATGATTTATTGTTTGCCTCACCAAAAATTCCTCTACAAAGTAATTTCGGGTCCTAAGATGAGAATTGAGATTTCTATTTCTGCCATTTTTTTGTGTTTGTGGTTTCTCTATTGATAGAATTTCTCTTACCACTTTATTTTGATTTCTCTATGAATATGAGCTTTCTGAATCTCAATCTTGAATGTAGTTTGTCTGTCCTGTGTAAATCACACTATCTGGTTCTATGGTAGATTTATGCTGTTCCAGTTCTATTAATAGGGAGACTGATCCTTGCATTCGCTTTTGAAGTTCATGGTTCGTTGAAATCGTGTGGCTTGTTCAGATTTTTGCTGGTTTCACTTGTACACCAGCGGAGTTGGACTTTGATTTCTTATGAATTGAGACGTGTAAAATACAGTTTATGGCTCTATCATCAGCTATTTATGATCTGGTTTTTCAATTTTATAATGAATTAGTATCAACACGCTACTTTATGCAAAAGTTACTTAAAGCATTATCTTCATTTCTCAAGGTGTGGTTGCAGGATTAAATACTCAAGAAGGCATTGTTAATCCGGGCACATCTTCTTCTTACGGAAATCCTGTTGCTGGAGGTAGTAACAGTATGGACGTGGATGTAGTTGTTAACACTAGCAGACCCTTAGCAATGGTTGATGAAATTACTGAGGGGTCTCCAGCAGCAGAAGATGGCTTACAGCTTGGAGATCAGATTGTAAAATTTGGGAATGTAGAAATAGGTGAGAACTTGTTACAGAGGCTTGCTGCTGAAGCTCAGAGAAATCAAGGCCATGCAATACCCTTGGTGGTTATGAGGCAAGGTGCTTCGATAAATTTGACTGTAAAACCCAGATCTTGGTCAGGTCGCGGCCTATTGGGGTACGTTACACTTTCATTTTATTTATTTATTTTTTGCTCTTGTTTAAAATCATCTTTCAGTTAGTCAATAAATTTCTATTGACTATGCTCGATGCTCGCTGCTTGATACATTTTATATGACTTCTCGAGGATAGTTTCAAAACAGTATTTCTCAATTATAATATGACACCAAATGCATTCTATAAGATGACTAAGTGTCATGAAATGGACATCATTTCTCATGTTTCTAATACCACTTTTATTGTCATTTGATTTTATGAATTGCCTTCCTTATCATTAGAGTGAGATATATACATAAAAATAGTGAAATCCATTCTGGTTGATTAATCACTTGTGTCTATATATATATGGTAGCCTGCGTGTATTTGTAACCATATGAATCATATTTCAACTGATATGTGTCAAACTCTCACCCTGATTTTTTTTTTGGGTCCTCAATGGGGTTAAATTTCTGTTGTTTTTACCATTATTAAATCCAATTAACTCTCGAATATTTGGATATTTTCTTGCAGATGTCATTTCCGAATCTTGTAATGACTTATTTGCACGTGCCCTGATCCGACTAACTTGCCAAGTCGAAGCTGATATAAAAAGATGGGCTTCTCTGTTTTGTTAGGCATGGTAAATGTTTTGTCATTGAAAAGAACTTCAGAATGAGAGTCTTGTAAGGAATATGTTCATGGATCATAAATTTGCTGAAGTTTAGTTTCATTTCAACTATTCTCAAACAATCTCGAGCTAAACATTTGGGGAGGTCTAAATCGTAACTCAACTAGTTTACAGCCTGAAGAGCTTCTCTTTATGAGTTTATTGAATGCTTTCCCGTTCTTTAGCCAACTGCCATTGCCATAATTTTAATTCATATCTAACATCTTTTAAGCATTTTAATAGTAAAGGGCAATGTTTGGTGCAAATATATCAAATCAGAGAACCACTGATCCAATATGTTTATCAAAACCAATTTCAATGGAATAAATTCATTTGGATTAAAAGACAAACGTGAGTAGAACATGGTTTGTTGAAAATACAATGCCCTAAAGGCTAGAAGGGAAGAGAAAAATTCCAGAGCAGGCACAAAAATGTGCTAGTTGAAGATGATGATTTCTAGAAGTTTTATTACTGTGCACTCTCATCAGTTCTGGAAAACCGAAGTTCAAATAAGATCCAAGTCTTCTTCAAGTAAAAGAAAAGTAATCAGCCCCTAAAATTCAAAGAATTTCAAGTCTTAGACAAATCAAGTAGGGGTTGATATTGGTTGTTCAGTTCGAGTATTTTAAGAACCGAAACCACTCATTAAACTTAATAGACACTTCCGTGTACTAGCTAAAGCGTTACGTATGTCTTGTTGAGATCATATTCACTCCGATATTGTAGTAGGTAAACTTAAAGGAGAAAGAGGCATTGTGCTTTGTTGATATGCTGCTTGACGATTTTATTAAAAAAGATCGAAGTTGCGGTATTTATTTCACTCAAGAATATTGTAGTAGACTTAAAAGAGAAAGAGACACTGTGCTTTGTTGATTTGCTGCTTGCTGATTTTATTAAAAAAGATCGAAGTCGAAGTATTTATTTAATGGGTATTCACGTTTGACGCATGCCAAAGCATTTGTAAATAGAACCATTTGGTTTCGGTTTGGGAAGGCTCGACAAAAGCCCACCCCTAGTTTCGTATCAAAACAAGCCCCCCATTAAACTTCTAAAACTTATAATATATTTTAAAAAGGATCAACTCAATTTCACGTAATTTTTGAAACCAAATCGGGCAATTTCGTTCCTGATCGGTTCTAGTTAAAATGCTGACCCCTAAATTATATACTCGTGAACAATAACTAACTTAAGCATTAAAGTAGCATCGATTAGAGCCCACCATCTTGCAGGCAACATCTGGTTGTTTTGCAACTCTTGACATAACATAACAATGAAACATAGCAACTTCATACTTTTCATTTGAATCATAATTTTGTTATCTTCAATCTTACATAACAGCAACAAATTTAGACAACATTCATACAAACATATAAATCTCTAGCCAAAATTAAGCCCCCTTTAACCTCTCACTGTTCCAGTCTCTTTAGCAAGAGAAATAGGAAGAACACAGGGAAGAGGGAGAAAAAGATGCATTGGAGGGGCGAAAGGGGAAAAATAGAAAATAGTATTTCCTCAAGCCATTGTAATGACTCCCTACCTAAGCTCCCCAAATCAAATTACTACATAAAATATATGTAACCGATAAATCGGGCTCTCTCATCAGGAAGAGATGACATTCGTCGACCATTCCATCATATCCTAAAGGGTTGGTTTCCAGAGCTCCTTCTGTCGAGCTTCGCTTTCTTTCTTTTTGCATTTTTTGTTGCAATTTCTTGGAATAGATTTGGTCCATCGAAGCTTAATTTGGAGCTCCTGACCTTCTTCCTTTTCCCGAGGTCATATTCTTCATCCCTGTTGATAGAAATGGGTGCCATGAATAAATTAAACAGACGTATTTCTGGGGAATTTATCAGAGGAAAGGAAAATGTCAAGGATTATGTAGCCTAAGTTGCGCCAAACAATTTAAATTCCACATAGCAACCTTCACTTGAATTCCAAAACATTATTAAGGTAAGGAAATGAGAAGATAAGCAACCACAGGCAAACTATGATTGAATGTGGGAATACACAATTGAACTATTGACCAACTCGAAGTTGCACACTTCTAATTCAAAACACAGGCTAAATTGATCATTTTGTATCCCAAGTTCAAGCTAATATCATTCCCTTCATAAAAATAAATAACAAAGAGTAATATAGACAAAAAAAGTCTTCACCCAATTCCAGTTTATTGAGACCGAGGATGGAAATCGTTGCTTCCATTCAGTAGTAAAGGGATTGCACGCTGTATGGGGTATTTTTTAAAAAGAATGTGATGAATTAAGAGTTGGGCTCCCGATAACAATGAACCAGCACACATTTTCTTTCATCAAATCATATTCAACAAACTATGTACTACTTTGATTTTGCTACAATGGACACTTACCATTCATCCCCAATGTAACCAATGCGTACGGTGTCCAGTCCCTTTGATTCTGTTATCCCAGATGGAGGAATGCCTATGTCATCCCAGCGTGCAACTGCTCTCAGGCAAAAAAAAAAAAGAAAATCAATGATTGGTTATTGGCGATACACGAGACTTGAAGGATACTTGCCATAAACAGTAACTACTAACCAGTTGTTTCCTCTAATCCTCTGGTGAGCATGTTCATTATCCCATTCTCTGTCGATTTTTTTCTGTTATCTCCTGAACAATTGGATCCTTGGGCAGTAGACTGCTTCCCATCTGAGGTAGATTGAAGACCCTTTTGCAGTTGCTTGTCAGTTGAAAGCACGGCTTCATTCTGACCAACTCTCATTATAAACTCATCATTGCTAGCAACCCTTGATATGTTACCATTGTCAGTAAAATTTTGCACACCTAACTTTTTAGAGCCACAATCAGCTTCCTTCCTTTTAGAGAGCATAAAATGTCCAATGGATACAGATAATGATTGGTCAGAAGTGGATGGTCCTATATCTGATGATAGGTTATTCCCATCCGACAAATGCTCTCGACCAGCATTCCTATTCTGCAGAGAGAGATGTTTTCTCTGCTTGTGTTTCTTCTTTTGCGGGCGAAAGGCCGCACCAAATATGATGTTAGAGCTGAGTTGCATGTTGGCAACCTGACACCTGAAGGGCCTGCTTTTCACTTTGTGTAGGGACTTTTTCTTATTTGCTTTCCTGATCGACAAGTATTCAGAGGTGACTGGTAGCCCAGATAATGATTCAGATTCAAAGCCTATCGTTCTCTGCTTCATATCATGAGCTTCTGTAGCAACTGAATCACAACGCTTCCCATGAGAACCCCCAACCTAGATATATAATATTGTTAGTATACTCTGGAGGAGAGAACGAACACATGACTTCAGCATAAAAATGATTTGTGGCTTCTACCTGACTCCCTTTAATGCTGATTTGCTTTGATGACTTCACACAGCTAATTTTCTTTGATGCTTCCTCAGGTGTTTCCAGGGACATAGCCTTGCTGTCACACTGAAACTGTAAAAAGAGGGTAAGTAAGGACATAACTGTGTCTGCAAGAAAAGAAAGAAAATTTGTGTTGAGTAAAGAATAAAAGGGAAGACAGTCATGTCATACTCGACTAATACGACCAATTACCGTTTCAGATTTAGTATCACTTGTATTGAATGCACTGCTATTTGATGGCTTGATGACTGGGTTGCTTAGATCGTCCTTGCCACTTGTGTCCTGATTGGATGATATGACAACAGAATCACTCAATTCTTTCTTGTCAATAGAATCCAGGTGTCCATTGAAGTCAGATGGTACCATACTAGATTCATTCAAATCCTTATGGAGATAGCTGCCCATATTGTAGACAGCTGAAGAAACTTCACGTGCTAGATGGTTTCCAGCTATTGTATTCACACCAGAAAAGCCCTTTACTGAAGCCTTAGCTGATGGAACTACCGATAAAGATTCTGACGAAGGAGACGAGCAATCAATAGCCATTGAGCCATTTACTTTTTGAAAAGAGCTCTCTATCATTGGAGTCTTCTTCGTAGTATTGGTGTTCAGTGAATCTCTACATGCTACAGTTTTCGAAATTGCTACCTTTCCCAAGGCATTCATGACGACATTTTCTTTCTGGACGACATCAGGTTTCTTGGAAGCAAAATTTCTCCTATCCCTAACATAAAATAACATGTATGCCTTCTGCTGAAGAACTTTCTTCTCATTAACCTGGACAACCTGTTAAATGCCATAGTTAATCAATGAGAAAGTCATTGAGTGGAACAGAAAAGGTCTCATAAAACGTAATATTCACAAGCTGGAGAAGATTCTAAACCATTATGTATCATGGATAAAAATGAAGCTGATCAAGACATGAATGTAACTTGAACGAACATAAATATTGGATAAAACAGCAAATATTATTTTCTTTTACCTGATTGTCATCAAGAGAATACCACATGCCACTTGATGTGCGAACAAAGCAGTAGTAGTGGCCAGAATGAGTACTCCAACCAGCATGAACCAGAACACCATATAGTGTGTATTTTAGATCCCCATCCTGCAATGTATTGGAAGAATAATTATTAAATTGAAGAGAACAAGGAAAGTAAACTCAAGCAACTAACGGGTGTCAAGCAGGATGTCAAATAAGTACCACCAGACATGATGGATTTATTTAGCATAGAGGACAGTATATTTACTGAAAACACTTATTTTGCATTCATTACAGAACCCTGAAACACTAGGATGGTTTTTATTACCTGATGAACAGAAGTAAGTATTACTAAAAGAAGTCAATTTGTATTTCAGCTACAAGCAATGGTAGAATATTGACTCAAAACAGCCTATTCAAATCCAAATTTTAACCCAAAGTTCCGAAGTGTACCAACAAAATCATACTTACAGCTTCTCAGCACAAGTCACCATTCCACAACAAACTAGACCTTAACTCCAATAAATTTGTAGTTTACATGAATCCCTCTCCATCCAATCCACAGCCTCATTTACGTAAAAATCCACAGAAATCATCATTCGGGAATGCAATAGGACAGGTCCAGCAAGCTAGCCGATGTCCATAGCTGTCACTTCCTCAGATTCTGGAACCCTCTCTGAGGTTTATATTTTGCTACCATATCAGATTGTGTTAAGTTCGGTCTTTCTCAGCCACTTCTTAATAGTTTAATTGGGATGTGATCACTCTTACTAAAGAAAGCTTCGTTAGAATGAAGCCTTGACGTGAGGCACACCTCAATACATAAACTCTGGACTCGTTTTAGAACAATATTGTTCTGTATAACTTCCCTTTTACCATACCATTTCCAATCACATGAAATCTCTTATGTACTTCTCCATTTCATCAACCCCAATGTAATCATATGTTTAATAAAATTTTAGAATGCATGTAGTTAATTATATTCTCAAAAACTGATGCCGAAGCAATGAGATCACACCAAGAACGTGTAAACCAAGTTAAATTTGAGAGGATGGCCAAAAAAGCACAGAGCTACTGTTCAGGAGACATAACACTGTAAATGTTTCCACCCCATATTCCATTCTTCCATTTTAATTTTGAACTCTGAAATTCTACGGACGTCATCCTTTCTCCAAATTTTTCAATCAGTGAACTCTGAGTATCTTGGTGAAGATTAAATCACATATCCAAAGTAAATGACTGAAGAAATTTTTACTAATGTCACATGAATCAAATAAAAATTGGAATCTCGAATAACTAACTACATAGAACTTACATAGGGACCAGTTACGAAAGGTTTCAAGTCCAAAGTAGGGCCAAACTCAATTTTCTTGTCAATTTTTTGACCTGGTACATGTGAACCAAACCGCTTCAGGTGAATTGTGAGGACTTTGGGTGCCTTATAAACTGTGAGCTGCTTGAGAGCCTTAACTTTCTGTTTGCAATTCTCACACTGGTACTGCCTTGCACCTCCATCTAACTGCTCTTTAACCATGAAATGAGCAAGTGCCTTGTATAATGAGTCCGCCTTCATAATTTCTAGACTAAGATCCAAGAATGGATCAAATTTGTCCGAGCAATAAGAACATTGCATGCATTTAACCTGAAAAATGCAACAAATAACATCAGCAATAAAACAAGAAAAACAAACATCCTTAACATTTTTGCGTAGAATCCAAATACCCGTTCTCTTTCAATTAATTCCACATTCATATTTCTAAGTATATCCAAACAATAAAAATTTCTCCAGTTCTAGAAGACATGCACAAATTACCTGACTACGTAAGCAACCACCAAAAATCTTGTGGACTAAACTTTTCTCATAAGCGTTAGGTGATTCACTTGGCACTCCTGAAGGTAGGCAGCATTTGTGCATAGATTCTAGCAAATTCACCATGTATTCATGAGCGTCTTCTTGTCTGGCATTTCGGAAGTTCCGTGATATGCCTAATGTCATGTCAAGGATTCTAACTTTCAAAAGAAAGACAAACGTGCCACCCTCCATGAATCAGCAATTGAGAGTATGTTACTTGCACTATGCAATAATGAGAATAACTTGATATTTTGCAAATTTCAGAATGGAAAATATATATTTTCCGAGTGTATAAAAACGTAATTATTTGCATCATCTAAAATCAATTAATAACTTCATACGTAGAACAGAGAGAAGGGACGAGACAAAAGTTTGAGGAAAAAGATTGCATGGACAGCTGAAGAGTCTCTATTGTGACTTAAGAAAATTTTCCATGAACACACGATAACCAAGAAACTTAAATTAATTTATATCAAACCTGAAGGAGAAATCAAGAAAATTGAGAAGCAAATCACTAAAAAAATCAATGGAAGGGAAGAGAGAGGATGGATCAGCCATGGGTGACAACAATAGTGAGAGCATTTCCAGCAGATTGAAAACAAAATAAAAAAAAACTCATGATTCATCATCAGGATACAATGCAAGTTTGAAACGAGATCTTTAGGCTCCAGTATTCTCCCAGTCGACTGTAGAGCACGGCTGACATGTTTCTGGATGGCACAAAGAGCACAAAAGCCAGCAGTCCGGCCTGCATAAAATTAAGTGGCAAAGTCATAATAAAGAATAAAACATAGTTTCGAAATATGATAATGAGCATATATTTTAGCACATATAGTCGGCACTGGAAAAGCATGCATCTAGAAAACTTAAAAATAAGAAGTCCAAATAGACTTCCCAACTCAATATGCACGCTACGTGTTTCAATATTTTGCAACTTAAATATATATGACCACTAAATGTTCTTTAGTTATCTTTCTTCGAGTTTTTTTATAAAAAAAACAAAGTCATAAATGTGAGTTTTTTTATAAGGTTAAAAAGGACAGGATTTAGCAATTAATTTGCAAGTGGGCTCCAGCATTAGCATGAGAGAGATAGAGAGAGAGAGAGACTCACAAGAAGTTTGGTGTTTCCCGCTTTGTAGATATGCTGCTAATGGCTCCGTATAAGTCAGACATTGTAATACCGAATTGAGGAAACAGGTATTTCCAAGATTACGCAAGCCAGCACCCTGTAGTTACACATATGAGCCTCATAATTATGTTATCTGATTCTTCAAAAGCAAATTAACCCATTATTGTCTTTATTATGCAGCATAAGGCCCAAATGTTGGATTGATATTGATAACCAATAAAATTCAGAGAATATTTTCAAATGTCTGAGCAAATAGACAGAGATACAAGGAGGAAAAAGTAAGAGCACCTCACGCTGAAAAAAGGTAGTCTATTGAGGGGAACCAACTTGAAGAATTCTGTAATGTGGAAACACGGGCAGCAAACTTCCACTTTCCAGATATATCCCAAGAAATCCACAATTCATTTGGTGGATCTCAACTCCAAACTATTTTCATAAGTGCGTCAAAGTGGTCTCAAAACCCACAAATCCATACTAGATCATAATTAATAGCAAGGAAAATATACTTAAAAAAATTACAGCCGGTGATGGGCAAACATACCGAACTCAAGAACTTCAGTTTAATCCCATTATTTTTAGTGTCCCAACTAAGTTTTAATAGTAGCCTAAAGATATGGTAAAATCTTGTCTTTCTTCAATCAAAGATGATGTCTCAATCTTGTTTAAGTGAGTTCTAGTAAAACTCAACTTTCATCATTTAGGCTTGAAGAATGATAATATGACACTGACTCTAGTCACTTACGCCATCCTTCAAACCACAATTTCCCTTTCATTCAGTAGAGACAAATGTTGAGAAATTTAAACAAGTGAAATTTCACCATGATAAAATTATTACAAATCTGAAAGCATGGCATTCCAGATTAGGGTAATAACCAGGAAAAAGTTAAGAACATTGAAGAAAAATTCTTTCCTCCACCAAAAGAACAACAAATTTTAAGCCCAAGTGACGCTAACAAACATAAATCAAATATAAAAAACATCAACAATAAGAAAACTGACACAAATCTATTTACTAATAAACGATAACATACTACTACATATAAGTCCAACCAAACTTCCAAAACCTCATAATTAATTATTGAAACGGAAAAGGTAGGACTTTTAAAGATTTCGACAAATTCTTTTTTTTTTAAGTGATGAACTTTCGTGAAATTTAAGGACTTCTATAGATTTGTGTGGAATTAATATATCTTTCTTAGACTTCTATAGATTGAATTAATTTAATCAATGGTCACTCAATTTTGTCATGAGTTACTACTTACTCATCGAAATTTAAAAAGTTACTATTTGCTCACTGAACTTTGCTATAAGTTACTACTTACTCACTGAAATTTGAAAGGTTACTCGTTGCTCACTCAAATTTAACAAAAGTTACCCATCAATCACCCATATCATTTTCATCGGTATTACCTATAGCAAAGTTAGTGAACAGCGAGTAACTTTCTTCAAATTTAGGTGAGCAAACATGTTACTTTTTAAATTTCGGTAAGCAAGTAGTTACATATGACAAAATTCAGTGTCTATTGATTAAATCATTTCGCTACAGATTTTATTTCAAACTTCATAGACTTTATAAAACTCAAATGACTTTTGAAGACTTTCATTTAGAATATAATTTACACGATCTAGCGCGACTTCCCACATAGGAGGTGGAGGCCAGATCACCACCATCCCCTTCCCATGTATAAAAATTATTTTTAATAGAAAAAATTTTTGAGTCACCTTAGTTAAATAAATAAATAATCAAAATACAATGTATATAAATAATATTTCAGTATTATTTGAAGACATTTTTATAAAATCTAATAAAATTTAATTACAAATGATCTTTATCATAAAAAATTAAACAAAAAAAGAAAAAAATGTTTATAAGAATTTTTAATTACAATTTTATTTTTTTAGTAAAAAACCGAGAAAAACGATAAAAAGAGAGAAAAAATGAAAAGAGAATAAATATAATCTGTAGAAGAAAAATAATATAATTTTTTTTTATCACCACTTTAAAGTTGATACTAGTTTCCTTTTCCATCTGTCTCAACTTATAGGCTGAATAGTTATTTTTTAATTTTCTAATATGCTCCTATTTAATATACCTCGTCATCAACAAATATAAACTAATCTTATTTAAACCATTATTTAATCTATGGATATATTGGGAAAAATGTAAGAAAATTTATATTTTCGACTATATTAATTACATTTTTTTAATCTACGTGAAAATAGAAACAAGCTTATCTTCATGGAACAGATGTTGTAAAAGGGAGGAAGGATAAATATTAAAAGACAAAAGTATATATTAAAATATTCTTTAGTGAAAGTCACCTAGACTCTTGGAAATCTTGGAGGTAGATGAGGAACAAATTTCAAAATTTTATTTTTATACTTTTGCTTAAAAGTTAGTACACTAATAATTATAAAAATATTTAAAATCATTAATATTTTGATTATCACATGACTTGTAAAGATTTTTAAAAAAATTTAATTGAATATACCAAGATTTTTAAAAACACAACAATACTTTATAGTTTAAAATGTCTAAATTGAATCCCTAAATTTTTTAAATCATTAAAATCTTTAAGTCCCAATTAAATACACCCCTTAAAAACACACCAAAAAAATATATATATAAAAAAGCAGGAATTTCAGCTGGAGAAGACCATATATAAAAAAAATCTAACAAGAAACAATTGGCAAGAATGCATATATACACACGCATTAATTGTATTTCTATGTGAAAGTAAAAGGACAAGTTTAAACACTGCACAAGAACTCACAATTCTCCTGAAAGTAATTTCAAAGCTGAGCTCCGGATCTAACCCGCTTTCAAGAAGCTCCGACCGGCCACCCTTCTTGCCGGACAATGACGCAGTCTGAGGCTCCGAATTAAACCCATTTGAAAAGCCCGGGTTCAAAGTCACCAGCTTAAACCCATTACTATTGCTACTACTGAATCCATTAAATGACTTCCTCGCCATATGAAACTCGATTCTCCGATGGAAATTCGCCGACTCGTCCTTATTCGGATCCAGTTCGGACAGAATCATTGAATCCATAAACAAGATTTAGTATCAGAATGGAATGAAATGAATATATTTATATATATATGCTTTTGTGTTCTGTAGGTTTTCACAAACTGATCACACTGGCGTGACAGAAAGATGAGAATAGAGCGTTTTCGGCTATGGACAGAAAGAGAAAACAGAGCTCTAAAACCCTAATCAGCGTATGGTGAAACTGCGCGCTCATGTTACCGTTTCCAAGTGCAATTATTACAGGTATAGGGTTTACGTTAGAGTTAATTTCGCAAGTGGTCCTTGACGTTCGAGAGACATTCCAAATTGGTTTGTAATGTATTTTTTGATCGATTTAGTGCTTATGGTTTTAAATAATATACATAATAGATCATGTGTCAATCTTATTAATGTTACACACGACGAAGCATTCGTTAAGCCTGATATGGACTATTAATCTTTATAACGACTTATTCCTTCTAGTTGAATTTATGTTTCAGCTGTGTCAAGATTTTTTTATTGACTCTCTTCTAAGAATTGGATTTTATTTTGAATATATGTACGATAGACATTAGAAAATATTGGGCACGACGCCGAGATTTCGATCTAATAAGATAAAGTGTGAATAGCATCTGTTTGACCCTCATTGTTTGAGATTATAATTTTTGGAATTTTTTTTTAAGGATGTATGGTTAAAAATAAGAAAAAATTGGATTTACGTGTTATATTATTTTATTAAAGAATGTGTAGTTAGTAAAAAAAATAAAAAAATGAATTATAATTTTAATTGGACCAAACGGAAGCAATTTTCAAGCAAGGCAATAAGAGCATTTTCAACGCTGTTGTAGATTGCATAAAAAAGGTTGTTACATGTACTCAAGTAGATAATGTTTATAAAAGTTCATCTCTAGAGCAACACGTCTAATTATATGTCTACTTAACTGAAAAAAAATATAAAATTAGACATTATCACGAAAATTGTTTGAAGATAGATATTCTCATAGGTGGATTTCAATTCAATAATTTTCTCTTATTCTCTCTTATTTCCAATCTTTTACACCTTCTAAAATTTGATTTATAGACAAAACTCATTAGAAATAATACATTTGAACTAAGTTGTCTCTTTATTAGGCATTAATGTCCTACATACCACTTTTCTATTTGAATTAAACTTGTTTGTCAGAAGGATTTTGACGCCCTTTTTAACATCCACTTATATGAGGGTGATATCCATGTGGTTCCCATTTGCAATAAAAGTGTATTAAGAAAATGTCACCCTCCCTATGCGAGAGGGTCGGTTAGAAGGGGTGTCAACCCCTTCTTGCAACATAGTAGGGTTCTTTCTGTGTATGAGTTACTGGGATAGCAATTCATAAAATGCATTGAAGATAATGTAAAGTAATTACATAAATATAACAACTTTTGTGATTCTTCACTGAAAATAGAAATCAACTTTATCTGAATAGATCCAAAATGACCCCCTATTGGCACTACGTTAAGGAAGTTTAACGGTGTCGCGTTGAATTTGGAACACGTGCCGCTAACAAATTGATCACTTATATTAATCAAATTTAAATTTAATAATTGAATAGATAGAAAAAAAAATACTTTGATGATGAATTCAAAATTTTATTTGAAGTTCAATGACCATTTAAAAAATTAACTCTCAAAGTTTATGTTAAAAAACGTGTATGGCAGAGATTCCAAAATAGGGTGGGCGGTGGAGGATTTGTCATTTGGTTGTCTGCTTATCGTATGGTGACAAATTGCAATTTTGCAATGGGTGGACACTTGTTAGAGATTCAAATTGTTATGGGCATATCCTTTTTAGATAAGTCGAAATGTACCTAACAAAAATAGTAAATCATAGATTTTTTGAGAATAAATTTTATAAAAATTATTTTTTAAAGATGTATTACTAGGAAGTAAAAACAAAATTATATTTTCAAGTATAAAATTATTTTATTGAAAGAGTTTATGGACTTAAATAAATCATGTCGCGTTTGGTTGAAAGACCCAACTCTCATATCTCTACGTAGTACTTATATGCGTGCACATGTTAAAAATGAAGAATTCAATTCAATCGAGAAAAGAGTTTCGATTTCTTTTTTCTTTAAGACGAAATTGTTCTTCAATATTGCGGACTGTTTTTAGGTATAAGTCTCACAAGATGTAATGGTCAACTTCTCGTGTCAGCAGCCGTAGCGCTACAAATCTAAACAATTACCAAGTTACTAATGTTTTGTAATTCTTTTTAATACGAAAAATGAACTTAAAAAAATGTGCAACAAAAATATTATTGATTGAATATTATTAAAATAATGGAACAAATAGTTCTGAAAATGTGAGATCTGAAAAATTGTGTTTTTTCGCACGACTTGTTGGAAAAGGGACGAATCCAAAAATCATTATCATTTATCCAAAAATCTCGACTTTTTAATTAAATATATTTTGGAATATTCCATCACGTGACACACTTAGGTTAATTGAACATTCAATCTACAAATTGGAATTTTCGACCAATCCCGCATGTGAAGAACTCTGAATTCGATTTTAATTAGTTATCCACTTAAAATTAATTTTGAACAACTAAATGAATTGTGATAATCTACTGGTGAAGTAAAACACTTTCGTTCAAAGAAATCTCGTATCCAATTAATGAGTGCTACTTAAATAACAAGTAATGATATTTATCATTATAACGATTGAATTTCGGTAATGTGACAATCCATTATACCTTACATTTCTCTTTCTCTTCCCCCTTTCTTTCGTAAAAATTTCATTTACGTAAATTTGGATGGTGTTGATATTATTTAGATGATATGCACTTCATGAATTTATATTTATTATTAAAGGTAGATTTTTGCTTCTTGTTGTTTCATTTTAGTTTTCCATTTCATTTTTTACGTTTCGTTCTCATTTTGAAGTACAATAACTCATATTCAATATTTTCTTAAATGTTAAAACCAAAACAATTAAAACCCCAAAACACTTCATGAACTCTCCCGCGACATAGAGACATCTCTCCGTGGTGCACGAAAAGTACACATTTAAGTTTGATTACAAATTACACGAAGATCTATATTTACGATGAAATTGGAATTCGATGTTGGAGCAAAATCAAATTATACCCTACACCAAGGAAGCAACTAAGATTTATGAAACTTCTTTTTCAATTGTTTTTAAAAAAAAAAAAAAAAATTATGTGGTCTCTAAAGACTCAAAATTTTGACTATATATATATATATCAACACCATCCAAATTTACGTAAATGAAATTTTACTTATATTGAAATTAGAACATAATTGAAATTAAATTTGTAAAATTAATTCTAACATTCATCTTTTACTATTAGCAAACAGTTGAATATAATGCTAATGACTCAACTTGGATTATTTAAATTACCCATATTTAACATTCAAAATGTAATTCACAATAATTTAACAGATTTAACACACTAACATTACTTTCAAAATGATGCACGGGCAAGAACTAGTTCTCTTAAAAGAGGCAATCCCCTTATCACTGTTCATTTATGTCACACGAGTTTTCACATTTACCCTGTTTCATTGTGGTTTTACTACAGTGGTAAATATATATTTGTAGACTAATTGGTATTCCAATTGATATTTTACATAAATACCTTTACTCCTTCTTCTAAAAGAGGCAATACCCTGATCACTATTCATTTACGTCACACAAGTTTTCACATTTACCCTATTTCATCGTGGTTTTGCTATAGTTGCAAACATATATCTGTTGACTAATTGATATTCCAATTGATATTCTACATAAATATCTTTTACAAATATCTCTTATAAATATCTTCTTCTCCACGAACAAAAATTTCCTCCGGTGCAGTAATCTTATAAATATCTTCTTCCCCACGAACAAAAATTAGTTTCCTCTGGTACAGTAAGAGTAGTAAATATAAAATTGATAGAGAAGTTATTTAATGCAGAGGCGGTCCTTTTATAGGCATCAAATAGGGTATTGGAAATTTATGAAGGGAAGCTCAAGCAATGGAAGAACAGTACCCCAACGCAATTGCAGAAGCCCAATTGTGATGATTTTAGTTAGAAACTCGACAAACAAAGGTAGCGAGTGTGCCATTTCAAAGAAATTTCCTTATGGAGTAAGACATTTGATAAGAGCGTTGGCCTAATGGCTCATCTTGTGTGCATAGTATATGCAAGAATTTGTTCAGTTTTTGGTCCCCGTATTCTTGTCGTACCAATTAAAGACCAAATTCTTCCTCGGTCCGGTCCAATAACAAGTACATCTAAGCCTATTTTGGTTCGATTTTACAGTAGAAAATCTGAAGATAGAGGCTTAGTTGCCAAAAATAATAGGGTTTTTCATGCGGCAGGGCCTTCAACAGTTGGTGGTTCAGGTCTTGCAATGCGTTATGCAAATGTGATTCACTTGGCTGAAAGATACTTGGATTCAGCAGCATCAGTAGATCATGAAGAACATGAATCCTTATACTAAATGCTGCGGAGGAAGATAAGTTGTTGGCTGCCGGGTGGAGAGATGCAATGGCGGCGATTTTGCGGTGGCTTGCACCGACGGCAAACGACGCAATGAAGTGGGAAAGGGAGAGGAATTTTGAGAGGATGAAGTTTGATTATAAACCTTCATCAGTTGTTGCAGACTTTGCATTTTTCTGATAAAGAGAAGATGAACTCCGCAATGTCTCCGCAATCCAAATTGCTCTAGCTGGTCAAAAGCAATTTGTAATCACAGTTCATTATTTTCCTTACACTTATAAAATAAGAAATGCACAAAAGTAGAGTTTCGTTATACATAATTCAAGTAAGAAAGAAACTGTACAATTCAGTGAAGCACAAACCTGAACACGAAGACTGCACTTCTTATCCACGAAAAGTTTCCAATTGGACTCATTCAAGCACAAAATTGGAGTCCCATTTAGGTCAACTGCAAAGCGAACGCCAAATCCTAGAGACCAACCCTCTTGACTGAAAGAAGAAAAAGTGCCCACGGAAGAAAATTCCTTAATAGTCCTCGAAACCTTAGCAGGAAAAGGCTTGGGATTGCTGGTAAATTCCAAGTTTGTTAGCTTAGAAACTACAAAAACTGAGCATTTCAAAGGCTGGATTAAAAAACTGTGACATGGGTTTGTTCTTAATGGCTTTAAGGATTGCACGGTGATTGGTTTTAATGGTAGAAATGAAGGCCTGGGAAAATCGAAGTGGGAAATTTGGTTTGGGGAAGCATTTGAGCTGAGAAAATTAGTGTAGTTCTGTACAAGGGCGTATGGTAATTGGGAGAGGAACATAGGATTTTGATTGTGCAGTGGGTGCGCCTCAGATTGAACGGGGATGGAGGTTCGCACAGCGCGAAGTAATGCTCCACGGTGTACGGAGTATACTCCGCACTGTACGGAGTGCAAAGTCGTTTTGCTAAAAAAAAAAAAAAAAACTTTTATATTTTTGAAATTACTGATTTATTTCTTATTTTTTTGCCAAAAAATGAAAATTTCATTATTCTACGTAATTAAATTTAATTTAGGTGATAACATTTACTTACATTTTTCACAAATTAAATACAATTTTATGCGACACAACTTCATTCCATACATACACGAAAATCAAAATTCCTTTCGGGGGCAACCCACGAGGGGCGTTGCCCCCTTGACCCTCGCGACCTGACCGGATAGGTCGATCCCCGTCGAGGGCGTTGCCCCCGATCCCCTGCTACCCCTTGACCCCCGCGACTTTACTGGACATATCGATCCCCATTTTGAAGTGACAAACCATTTACATAACAACAATAAACAAAAAAATATATCATGAAAAAATATATTATTTCTAAACTAATGAATTTTTGCTAAACTTGAAGTTTGCTCAATAAAATGTTATTTCAATGGCCCCGATAAAACTTTAGCAGTGATCATGCAATTACTTGAATATTTTCCACTAAACTTTCTTTCCTTGTTCAGTGAGTACTATAAATATTTGGTACATAGTTCAAATATGAATTGTCAAATGTTAGCAAGCTTAGAAAAATTAATATTGTCCCATTAATTTCTTCATTGGAAAAAAATTTGGCTACCAAAATCTTTTCATTTAAATATATTATCATTATAAAATTTTACTAATTATTATGCTAGATAAAAACTTACTGAATTTTCACAATAATTTAGCTTTTCATTAATATTTAATACACTAATATTACCTTACAAATATCAAAGCCCGTACATTGTATGGGCATACGACTAGTAGTTCTGAAAATGCGAGATCTGAAAAGTTGTGTATTTTCGCACTACTTGTTGGAAAAGGGACAAATAAAAAAACCATTATCATTTATCCAAAAATCTCGACTTTTTAATTAAATATATTTTGGAATATTCCATCATGTGACACGCTTAGGTTAATTGAACCTTTAATCATACAAATTGGAATTTTCGACCAATCCCGCATGTTAAGAACTCTGCATTCGATTTTAATTAGTTATCCACTTAAAATTAATTTTGAACAACTAAATGAATTGTGATAATCTAATGGTGAAGTAAAACACTTTCGTTCAAAGAAATCACGTATCCAATTAATGAGTGCTGCTTAAATAACGAGTAATGATATTTATCATTATAACGATTGAATTTCGGTGATGTGACAATCCATTATACCTTACATTTCTCTTTATCTTCCCCCTTTCTTTCATAAAAATTCAACAGCTCAATCCCGTATTATCCCTCTTCTATTAAAAAAGGCAATCCTTCAGTTACTATTTATTCAGGACGTATTTTCTTTTCCCTTTTCTATTAAAAGAGGCAATCCTTCAGTTACTATTCATTCATGACGTATTTTCTTTTCCAGTTTTATCCCTGCAATCCTTCAGTTACTATTCATTCAGGACGTATTTTCTTTTCCAGTTTTATCCCTCTTGAAACTGATAAGAAACAAAAA